GACTCCTGGAGGGAAAGATAGCAAACCCCACTAGTCGGGAAGGCCGATCCACTTGGTCCGGACCTCCCATGCCTAAGGCTCTCGGCTCCATCACAGGACCCACGGTGTCACTGGCGGAGCTACCCTAGGCTGCCAAGAAGGTTCTCACCAAGAGATCCCAGGAGGCCGTAGGTCTCGCGCATCACCTCCCGGTACAGGGCTCTCTGCGCGGGCCGCAGACACCCCCACTCCTGCGGGGAGAAGTACACGGCCACGTCCGCGAAGCTCACAGCCCCGGGCTTAAAGAATGATGGCTGTGCCGAGGCCCTTCTCGGGGCAATCCGCGGCGCCATTGGGAATCCCCGAACCTTTCCTGGGTCAGCCCAGAGCCCCCTAGATCGCCTGCCTGGCCCTAGGTTGCCATGGTCAGGTACAAGGGCTTAGAAGGGACAGAAACCAGGTCCGTGAGCACCCTAATGTAGGTAAAAATTGAAAACTCATAGAAGCAGGTACAGAAGCAGGACTTGGTGATGAGCTCATAAAAATGGTAGCAGCATTTGTGCACATACGTGTGGGGTAGGGGGATGTCTTAAGAACTGTGATCCCTAGGCGTCCCGCCCACGGTAACGTCACCGGATTTCCTGGGTCATTGTTTTCTAGCCCTCATCCAAAATGGCCAAATTGTCTACAAGTGCCAATCTAAGAACAAGCCCAAAATAGACACGCCTATGTGGGCGGGGACTTCATGCCAGCAAGTACCAGGCACAGTTAAGGAGTGGTACAGATTCTGGATTTATGAAGTACTCTCAAGTTGAGCTAAGTGGAAGCAGTTTGTGAATATTGGGTTTGGGGTAGAATCCAAGAAAACCCCTTTCAGAGATAGAAGCTGAAAAATGAAACCTTTATTTTCTGTGCGCACGTATGTAGGTGGCCAGTTTGGGAGCTGAACAACATCTCGGAACAGAGATTGCACTAAGTTTTCATAGGATCAGAACATAAAGCAAGGGGGGCTTGGTTGCGCTGTTGCATTAATTGGTCATATTTTCACACAATGGGTTAAGCCCAGAAAGTTAACTTTGGTGACTGGGCCTCATCAGGGTCACCTGGTTTTAGGGTCCTTGATTCGGCTTCTGCAGTCAAGTGGCATCCTGGACTGGCCTGGAATTTAGAATGATAATGGAACAAAGGAGTGGGCAAGCTGCACATTTATGCCTTGTGTGCCTTAGAGAACGAACAACAGAATCGTTCCTCTTTGTATCCTTTACTGGATAGCAAACAAATATGAAACACCTGAAGTAGCAGGATAGTAGTTAGCTTCCAGCCTAGGGACCTATTAATAAGCTAGGAAGAGAAGCAGGCCCACCGGTTGTTTCCACCAGCTTTATCTACACATCTAAACTAGTTGAGGAATACTGCTCCTGACACAGCTCAGAGATCATAGAGCTGTCCTGTGATCAACCAGGACACCCAGAACATTCACGACCTAATCTAAAACTGTACATCTCCACATCTGGATTTTTTCCCCATCACTCCCAGGAGGGATTAAAGCTTCTGGGAAGATTGTGAGAGTCCCAACAAATATCCAAGAGAGGAATGAGGCCCTGCTCACAGTCATAACATTCAGGCTTTCAGTCTGGCTCATTGCTATTTTAATATAAAAAAACCTACATAGGAAAGGAATATTATCTTTATTTATCATCATTTACAACAAATGTTAATTTGCTGGAATTCTTGCTCTGCAGCTGGGGTGAGGCTTCAGCTAGACTTCAGGGCAAGGGGCTATCTTCCTTTCTCATGCATCCATAATTTTCCCTGCCTTTCTACTCTGTCTCTGGTGCAAATATATTGGATCAAGACCAGGGTTCTGCTTACTAAGTTTATAGTAAGCTGAGATAGAGCAGGTATGAGTTCCCATGGCATGGAGTGATTTTGGATCTCCTTGCAGAGTGGATCCAGGTCCAAGTGACACAGGAAGCTTCAGCTCTGGGAGGCTGCTAGCAGTGAGCGCC